CTGACTCTGGGATGAGACCTTCTTGGTTGCCTGATTATAACTGCAAGATCACAAAGAACTAGGGCCGTCAGCTGCTTCCCGATAGAACGCTCCGACGGTCAAGTTAGGATGACTTTAGGATTTATGTTTGTTCTCTCAAGATCGGTTAGAGAGCTTACCTCGCTGGTATTTTGTCCACATCCTTTTATACCTAGCGCTCCTGCTTGGTCCGTACCATACAGGATCACTTTTGGAGGAGACAAGGTCAGAGGCGCTGATTGGAGGGTCGTGCACCCTCAACCGCTAGAGCGTTCTCATTGGCTCCGACAGTAATGCTCTGATCCTTCCCTTTGTCTCCTGACCGTACCTTTTGTCTTGGAGCAAGGAGCGTTACTTGGTAGGCGCGAGCCTTCCGCCTGTCCGTTTCACTCCCGGGGGCGCCAGCGGGCGCTGAACCTGTTGGGCTGAGCCTGGCTGGTATGCCCGACTCTAGGGCTTGGACGCGGTTCTGATGTGCTGCCCTAGGCACACCATCATATGCCAAGTTCTCGAAATGTGAGTTTTTGTTACGAGAGGTCCAGTTCCTCAAACATCTTGTTAACCAGGAGGGGATTTTGGTCGATCCGGCCAAGGTGGAAGCGGTAATGCAGTGGGAGACTCCAAAATCTCCCTCAGACATCAGGAGTTTCTTGGGTTTAGCAGGGTATTATCGGAGATTCATTCATGATTTCGCCAATATTGTCGTACCACTCACTCGTCTAACAAGGAAGGGGTGGATTTTTGGTGGGGCCCTGAGCAGCAGAGGGCATTTGAGACCCTTCGGTGATTTTTATGCGAAGCACCGGTGTTGACTCTCCCTGAGGGAGTTGAGGATTCTGTGATATTTTGTGATGCGTCCATCACATGCTTGGGGGCAGTCCTCATGCAGAAGGGACGAGTGATAGCCTACGCATCGCGGCAGCTGAAGCCGCATGAGATGAGATACCCTACACACGATCTTGAGTTGGTAGCGGTGGTTTTCGCTCTCAAGATTTGGAGGCACTATCTGTATGGGGTCCGTTGTACTATATACACGAATCACAAGAGTTTGAGGCATATCATGGATTGGTCGAACTTGAACATGAGGCAGCGCAGGTGGATGGATGTGGTGAAGGACTATGATTGTGAGATCCTTTACCATCCTGGTAAAGCAAACATGGTTGCGGATGCTCTGAGCTGCAAGTCAGCTGGGTCCTCGACCCCATCCAGGTGTATGAGGATAGCGGTGGATTCCCCGCTGGTGGGTTTGGTCAGGGATGCTCAGATTGAGGGCATGAGACTGGAGAACTGGAAGTTGGAATGAATTAAGGGCGAAAGCGCCCGGTTTGTTTAGGATAGCCGCGAGTTGTTGACCCGTTTCGGTCAGGTTTGGGTTCTGATGTCCAGAGGGGTCTGACAGATAGTGATGGAGGAGGCTTATAAGTCCCGTTTTTCGATTCACCTGGGAGCCACCAAGATGTACCATGATCTGAGTTCGAGTTATTGGTGGCCTGGCATGAAGCGAGATAATGATTGGTTTGTTGAGAGGTGCTTGACCTGTAGGATGGTTAAGGCCGAGCATCATAGGCCGTATGGTAAGCTAGAGCCTCTGGATATTCCCATGTGGAAATGGGAACGGATCACGATGGATTTCATCACGAAGTTGCCAAAAATGGCAAGGAGGTTCGATGCTATATGGGTCATCGTGGATCGATTGACCATGAGTGCCCATTTTCTAGCCATATAGGAGAGTTCATCGGCAGAGAAGTTGGCCGACCTGTACGTCAGAGAGATTGTCTCTCGCCATTGGGTTCCAGTTTCTATCATTTCCGATTGATTTTTCAGGTTTACTTCCCATTTTTGGTAGAAGTTCCATGAGGAACTGGGTACAAGACCACATTTAGCACAACGTTCCATCCGTAGATTGATGGGCAGAGTGAGAAGACCATTTCGATCCTCGAGGATATGTTGAGGGCGTGTGTCATTGATTTTTGTGGGAGTTAGGATTCCCACCTACGGCTTGCATAATTCACCTACAACAACAACTATCATTCTAGTATCGGTGTCCCGCCTTTCGAGTTGTTGTATGGGCGGAAGTGCAGGACCCCAGTCTGCTAGGGTGAGGTTGGGCACACAGTGATGCATCGGAATGAGGTAGTTCTGCAAACTACCGAGATGATACAACAAATTAGACAGCGACTACAGACCGCTCAAAGCCGGCAGAAAAGTTACGCCGATCGACGCCGATCTGAGCAGGAATTTCAGGTGGGTGACATGGTTCTTTTGAAGGTCTCACCCAGGAAGGCTGTGATCCGCTTCATGAAAAGGGGAAAATTGGGTCCCTGTTACATTTGGCCGTTCAGGATTGTTGCCAGGGTTGGCAGGGTGGCTTATAGGCTAGAGCTTCCGGAGGAGCTTAACCGGATCCATAGCACATTTCATGTTTCGCTGTTGCGAAAATGCATTATGGACCAGGAGTCAGTGGTATCGTTGGATGACATTTAGATCGATGTGTACTTGAACTATGTGGAGAGGCGTGTGGCTATTTTGGAAAGGAAGAAGAACATTCTGCGGAACAAGGAAATACCTTTAGTAAAGGTACAATGGGAACATCGAAAAGGATCCGAGTGGACATGGGAGCCGGAGGCGGAGATGCACGAGCATTACCCAGCATTGTTTATTCCAGCTGACTTCGAGGATGAAGTCTAGTTCAAGTGGGGGAGAGTTGTATCGCCCCGATTTTCAGGTGTTGCTTAAGTAAGAATTATTGGGTTAAACTCTACTCGACGAGTTGGTTGACCTACTCGTCGAGTAGCAGCTGGATGAGATCGCGTTTTAAGTGACCTACTCAACGAGTCCATGTTGGGACTCGGCGAGTAGGAGTTGGCAGTGGAAACCCTAAATCCCGGGGTTTGCACCTCTATTTAAAGGAGCCTTAGCCTCCTTTGGCTTGTTTACAGTCTTTAGAGCCCCTTAGAACCCTAATTCGTGTGTGTGTGCCTTGGTGTGGTGTTTAAAGCTTGGAAAAGAGAGTCTTGGAGGAAGAAAGCTAAGAGTGCAAGGAAATTGATGCAAGGAAGGAGTGGGAAGCAGGATTTACCTCAGCTAGCATCCTTTTGAGGTATCAAAATGCCATCCTTACTTCCTTTTTTCCCTTTTGTTGAGTTTCTAGGGCTTTTTATGGATTTTCAAGTTGGTATGATGAGCTATGGGCTAGATCTGAAGTTGTAACTTCAGATCAGGACACTCCTTGGATTCTAGATGCATAAAGTCACAGTCTTGGTTGTGATTAAGGTCCCTCTTCAGCATAAAGTTCCATTAAGAACTTAAAATAGGCATTTAGAGCCTTTATAGCCATGCATGCACGTAAAGTTTGCAACTTTACGTGATAAGCATGCCCTAGAAGCTTGGATCTATGAGTCAGAATCGTTGCATGGCTCAAAACAAGTCTGTATGAAAAAAGGACTAAATGGACTCGGCAAGTCGCAAAGTTGACTCAGCGAGTCACATGAAGATGGCCAACAAATCGTCGAGTTGATGAACAACTCGGTGAGTTTGATGAAGATCATCATAAGACTCGACGAGTTGAAGAACAACTCGGCGAGTCGGATGAGTTTTCTCTTGGATATGTATGATTGTGTATCCGTCGAGTTACAAGGAGGGAACTCGATGGGTGGCCTTAAAGTTTGATCGAGAATCAAAGGAACTCGACGAGTCACTCCGATGACTCGGCGAGTTGGAATGTACTTCAGGGAACTCAGTGAGTAGCTAGGGGTACTCATCGATTTAAGGTTAACATGGACTGTTGACCTTGACATAGGACTTTGACTTTGATCAGGGATTGACTAGTGGCTTATGGAGTACCTTATATGGTTAAGGACTTATGAGTATGATGTACTATGATCATAAGTGGTGGGACCTGTGTCAAGTGATCCGAGAGTTGGAGTTTACCTTTTGTTTCGACATCTGCGAGGTGAGTTATACATCACTATATCGATAGGTTCTACGAAACCAAGGTTGGCCCTTTAGTTGTTATTGTTATGGTATGCTACATGTGGTTATGATCTGTTAGATCAGAATCGGGGTAGACAGTATGTTATGCTCTTATGATCCGTAGGGATTGGTATGTTAGTAACCTACTAGGTCGGTACTCCAGTTACAGGAGAATTCGATGATTTATGATCAGTTTAACATATATGTTTGATGTTTGTATATGTTTGTATATGATAGTATGCGCACATGGTTATTTGCTTGTGGTTGGGTTGAGGCGGTCCTTCTTTGTGCTAAAGGCCAATATAGCCTATGAGCAGTCTGGGGAGACTGTAGGCCCACGTGGCGTACCAGTCATGCCGAAGGCTCGGGATAGATTCAGACAGACTGTAGGCCCGGTAGGGTGGTCTAGTTAGGCCGATGGCCCAGTATGCATGCTGATTGATTGATTATAACCGATATGGTATTGTCAGTGTGGCATTGGTATTTTGGGAGTAGCTCACTAAGCCCTCGGGCTTACAGTTTTCAGTTTATTGTTTCAGGTACTTCAGGAGATCATGGAAAGGCAAAGGCGTGACCATACCGCTCCTCATCCTTATGTTATGATTTTTTTTGGGACACTCTGATGGAAAATGATTTGAAAACATTTTGAAAACAATCATATTTGGTTTTTATTTATGATTGAAAAACTTTAAATTTGGCGTAAAATTTATGGATGTTACAACATCATTTAGTTTTGAAAACATAATAACTGCATTTGTAGTTTGTGGTTTGATTTTAGTCAGTAACAACACCTATAGCATGACCCCTGACTAGGAAAACTAGGGACAAATGTAATATTAGCCCATTAAACTTGTCGTTTTTGGTTTAAAATGTCGCTCAATTGTTTTTTTGTTACATAATGGTAATAAAGTCATGTATGACCGTTTTAAAATATTTACCCTTTACATTAGCTTAGCGGTGATGTGGACTTACACGTAGGATACCACGGTCGAATTGGAGGCTTACGTGTCATGAACTGGACAACCCTTGGGGAGCAAGGGTTCTTATCCGGCCTATGGTCCCCTTATATAAGATCGTATTCCCCTTTTAGGTTAAACATCGTCAGTTTATTACCCTTACAATGCATCAGTTGTGTACCCTTTATCTTCCTTCCCTCATTACAAATTTCATCCCTACCAATGATCATGGCTTCAGCAGGTAGCTTTTCATATGGAGGATTCCACACGTCGGACATAGACATACCCACTGATAATGAGCCGTTAGCTATGGAGATGCAGGTCGACACGGAAAACCTAAGAAATGACTTCGCAATGGAGCTCGCCGAAGTTAAGGAGTAGATGGGAGTGATGAAGAAGAGGTTCAATTTTAGTGTGTGGATTTTGATTCTTGATGTGGGTGCTGCTTTGAGTTCTCTTTATCAGTCCTCGAATTCAGTTAGAGTTAGGTCAATGTCATTTTTTCTATTTCCATTGACATGTTTGACATGACAGAACAACTGTCTTCAATGTCATTTTCTTTACTTACTACATCACAGAATGCCTGCAGATGAGTACCAAAATGGTCCATGTACATAGGTAGTCGTACTCGACACCTATACGCAACGTTTATAAACTCTTGATATTGAAGATCATTAGAAATCAATGTTAAACCTTCTGGGATTTCTAAATCCGGCTGACAATAGTAAACTTTCTGACACTTCTCTTGTGTGAATTGCTCAAGAATGCCAATAAAGTCCTTGTGAGTCATACCAGCATAAATCGATATCATCAAATACATGATGAATACCATCTGAGTAGCAAAAAGGTTTGTTGATGAACACACCTTGGAAATGAAGTTTTATTAAGATGAACTTAGCCATCGACAAGAATTTTGGTGGAAACTGGAAACTACGGTTTTTACTGGAGTAGCAAAGAGTTCAACAGAAGCGGAGAAGGAAATACCGAAAACGAACATATTTAAAAGAGTACAATCAAAAGGTAACTCAAATCACCATTACATTTAATGACATGGCACCGTCATTTTGTGTCGTGACACCAAGTTACCTCTTATACCGGTAAGAGGTAAGATAATGACATTTTAAAACAGTCATACTTGACTTTATTACCATTATGTAACAAAAAAATTGAGTGAACTTTTAAACCAAAAATGACAAGTTTAATGGGCTAATATCACATTTGTCCGACAAACAAAGACTAAAGATTAATAAGACGGACGTATACACTTACAACTAATTACGGTTACTATTAAACTATTAGAAGCAATGTTAAGAGCATCTATAATGTATTATACTACAATAACAGAGTTGAATAAAATATCATATCTAATAGACATTCTAAGAGATTAAACTTTATCATTGTAGGATGACATATTGGTATTTAAAAGACATGAAGTTCAATAACAATTAAACTCATCAATAAAAAATATGATATATATTAATTATTAATGATATGATTCATTAAACTTTGTAGAGTTTAATAGGTTATAAGAAAAATGATGAAGTTTTATAGAGTAAAATGATGACTTGTCTATTAAAACTCTAATCAGCTCAATGCATTATGGATACCTTAGCATCCCCGACTTACATATAAATAAGTAAATATTAAACTACTAACTATTATGCTAACATCCCCTTAAACTCAAAATGCTACAACATTATGAATTATTTTGTGAGCACAGAACTGAACACATGAAACTGCATATGCCTTGTTGGAAATTTGACGTCGATAAACCTTCGTTGCTTGATAATAGCAACAGAATTAGCAAGGATCATTTTTGCCTTAGCAACAGATTATCCTTTCGAAATGCTCATGAAACAGGTGAGCTCTGTCCCAATTCTGTCGCTACTTTGATGTTGCACACATTGCAATCCGTCGTGAACTTTGCATAGTCAACATAGTTTTTTGTTCCAAAAACTTTTCCCTATTATAATAGTGACGGTCGATCAGCTGGTTATGGTAGAACCACCTAATTTGCTTAGAGATGCTATCTAACTTTCCATGCCTTTATTCAACTCCTAAATTAAAAATATTATAGGAAGATATAGAGTATTTGGAGAAATTTACTTCAGCTATTAATATATTGCACGTGGCTTCATTTTAAATTTCAAGTCCTTAAAAATTCTAAACATTTTACGACATTATGGAAAATCTTATGTGTCATTTCCGTACATGAACTATGTCCACACCTCTTCTGTTTTCATGTTCATTTGGAATTTTTCTAAATACTTTTTTCACCATTTAATTTCTCAAAAAATATATATAAACTAGGATTTGTTAATATTTGATTACAACGACATGTTCTTGATTAATTCATTGAATAATATTTCAACACGAGACGTAAACTAACTCTTGGTAGTCCTTATAAAGACCCATGCATTTGAGTTCTACAACACTTAACACACATAGCCCACATCAACACATCTAATTACATACGCTTATTCTTATTACACGGTTATTTTTGCAACCAACATTTTAAGGGTGGATTGAAGGATCTATTCAATTGGGGGTTGAGTTTTGTTACTTTTGACACTTTTGACACTCGTGATATTCGTGGTGATTATTCATTTTTCTCCGATCCTGTAGTTTTTGCCTGCTTCCAGCTGGTTTGTCTTTTCGTTGAATAAAATATTTTTTTTTAAAAAAAGGGAGAGGTGCACACGTGGTAATTAAAAAGTCAGTGGGAAAATGATCCAAAATAAGATATACCAAATTAAAATATATGAAGTGAACACTAAAAGTCAAGATAGTTAGATAGGCGTTGCAAGGTTGGTGTCCCACGGAGGGCGTTTATATTTGCTTTTGTTGTTCCAAAAAAAAAAAAAAAGGCTAGGCGTTGCAAATAGGTACAATACATATATCTATCAAATGATCACAACGTTCATTTAAAATAATAAAAAAAATCAATGGAAGCTATTATTTCAAAATATTTTAATAGAACTAAAACCAGTGACTTCACGCTAAAGATCTATCCAGACTGGATCGCATGATCATGTTAGGTTTTGTTTCATTGTATGGTAAACATTTCTAATTTTTTTGAAAAACAGTCATTTCATGGACTCCAATGCTTATTTTTATATATCTCGAGATGCAAAGACTTTGTTCTATAGAGTCGAAATATCTTGTAATATGTCGAAGTTTATGTAATAGATGGTTTCGTATGTTTCTTTATGTATTTGCTAATGCATCTTTTTGACAAGCTTAATGTCTATCCTTAGTATTTTTTATACTTTCAGTCTCCTATAGTAGGAGCTGAACATAGAGTTGATAATAGAGTTTTCCCATATTTACTATTTATTTTGTACTCGTGTTCTCTGAAAGTAATAAGAACTAAACCAGATCTTATTTATTTCTTGTGTTCATATTACATCGTTTTACTCTAATTTGATTCTCATAATTGATTAAACACTTCTACAATTGGTATCAGAACAGGGATCAATACTACAAAGATCTAATTTTCTTTTGAATCATTCGTTTTTGAGTTGCGAGTTTGTCTCAAAAGTTTCCACACAGTTTGGTTCTGAAAATCAACTCTGATCTACAGTTTTGATTTGATTTTGCGTTTGAATTGTGTAATCGAGTAATCGATTTTGAGTTTCTGATCAATTCATTAGTTCAATTTCAAATTTCTTTAAGTTCTTCTGAAAAATCTCATCTGTACGTTAATGGAGAATTTCAACATGAATACGATGACTTCATTTTCTCATTTGTTAGGATCTTCTACGAAGATTCCTATGTTGATTCCATAGTACTATGATTAGTGGGTTGATCGAATGGAGGATTACTTGAACGGATTGGACGAGAAACTCTGGAGTTGCATTATAGGAATCGCTCAACCTCCATCGAATGTTCAAAATATTGGATCATCTGGATCAACACCTGCAGTTACTGATCAATCCACCAGGCTGAAGAACTACTTAAAATGTTGTTTGAGTGAATTGTGAGATGCTTTGCCACTTGTTGTTTACAATTACATTCGTGGTTGTAAAATTGCAAAGAAAATTTGGAACACTCTTAAGGAAAAGTATCAAGGTAGTGAGAAAATGAATATAAATTTTGTGAAGCAGTGTCTTGTTGAGCTGAAAGAGTTTAGACAAAAGGAGAGTGAACCGATTGAAGTTTACTATGATCATCTTAATTAACTGATCTATAGATGTAATCGTTGTTGGAATGACAATCACATACCAGAGTTCACTTGGGAATGCGAGGACAAACAGAATAGGAAGTACCCTCTTGCCTCTACTCGGCCATTCATACCTACTTCCTTGCCTAAACCTGAATTTCGGGACGAAATTCCCTCTAACGGGGGGATGATGTGACAACCCAAAGTTTATTCCGTTACATTACCCCGTTACCGTTAACGGAATATTCCATTCTATAAAAGTTCCGTTAAGTTGAGGTCGTAAAATAAATAAATGTTTTATTTATTTATATTTTTATGTCGTTATAGTCGTAATAAAGTAAATAAAAACACTTAAATTACATTTCCATGTTAATTTGGTTAAATTGTATTACGACCACTAAATCGGGTGTGACCAAAAGCCCCGTATAACGGCAGTATCGGGTAGAATTCCAATGAGCCCCAACTCGAACCCCTATATAAGGAGGGAGTGGACTTCATTCCACTCTTTTCCCACTCCCATATCACCCTCTCTCTATACTCTCTCTCATACAAACCCGATTTCGCCTCAAATCCGCAACCGAACGCTTCCAAATTGTAAGACATTCAACCCTAACTTGTTCTAAGTGTGCATTATTGTCTTTTTAGCCTAAAAATCACATGATTGAGACTTGAAAAAGGAGTTTACGGACTAAGAGCCTCCTTAGGCCGTAAACACCCAAAAAGGGGCCAAAATGACCCAAACTTGTCCCATTGAGCCTAGGAACCAATTAAGGAATTTGCCTAGGAGTGTTTAATCATCAAAACATAAGATTTTAGGGCATAAAAGAGAGTTTACGGCCCAAGCACATGCTTAGGCCGTACACACCTCTAAACCTTGCAAAAATGCCCCAAAACACACTCCCAAACCACCCTTAGGCTTAATACATAAATTAGGGGCTTCCTATTTCGGGTTTAGAGCATTCAAACACAAGAAATTGAGGGATTAAAAGGAGTTTACGGCCAGACATATGCCAAGGCCGTAAACACCTCTAAATCAAGCCAAATGATGGTTTTAATCCCCCCGAATGGCCTCATACCTCATTATAAATTACTAGGGTTGGAATAGGGACTTAAAACTTCAATAAAATCAAGGTGTAGGAGTTCACGGTCGTGAACTCCCATAGGGGTGGTTCATGGGTCGTAAACTCCCATATGGTCCCTTTAAAAGCCCTAAACCCATTCATACCTTCCGGATTTGGACCTAGCAAAATTCCAGGAACAAGATAGAGCCCTTAAAACACCCTAGAACCCCTCACCATGAGTTTACGGCCGTAAACTCATGGGGAGTTTTTACTGGGCCGTAAACACCATAAGGTGAGTTTACTCTTGAAGAGTAAACTCCATTCCTAAGCCATTTGAGCCCTTAAATGTTACCCGGGACACCCCAAACACTTAACCAAAGTGTTTTTCGCACCTTAGAGTGTGTATACTTGTTTAATTAGTATTAAATATACTAATTGTATGTGAACATATGTTATTGTTGGATAAGGTGTCTAAGTCCATAACTATTTATGGTATGTACTTGACCCGACCCGGCATGGTCCATTTGGGTTGCATGGCATCATGCAATTGGATAGACTAAATGAGAGAAATAACACTTGGAGATTATTAATATATTA